CTACCTACCTACCTACCTACCTACCTACCTACCTACCTATGGCATGTGTGTGTTATATCTACAAGTTTTATTTTTGAAAGAGAATTTCATCGCAGGTTGGCCTTAAACTTTGTATGTAGCCCAGGACAACCTAGAAGTTCTGACCCTCCTGTCTCACCTTCTGTTACAGGTGTGTGCCTGGTTTCTGTGGTGCTGAGGATCAGACTCAGGGCTGTGTATACTGGCAAGCACTGTACTGAAATACAGCTGTAGCCCTGATTCTCTTATTTTTGGCCTAATACAGAAATGTCTCTAAAGGGTTTCTAAGATGGGCATGGTGGCACGCACCTGTAACCCCAGCATTCAGAAGCAGGCGATGGCTCTCTGATTTTGAGGCCACCTTGGTCTACAGAGTGAGTGCCAGACTAGCCAGTAGTGAGACCTAACCACCCTCCATAGAAAAGTTTTCTATAAAATAGGACAATTATACTTAAAAGTTTAAGAGGAGAAACCTTAAAACTGTGTTGCCAGCAAGACAGTGACAGATTCAGAACACATTTTTTGCTTAACTATGCTGCCCAAGATGCCAATTTCTGCACATTTCAATTTTACATATTGTACACGTTATGCACACATGTACATATATGTGTATATGTATATATCTTAAGTTATTTTTTGAACTATTAACATGGTTTTAAACTTACAGAAGAGTCGTAAAAGCAGTAGGGTTCCTGTGTGCCCTCCATTCACCCCCTTGTTTTGACATCTTCCCTAACTAAAACAGTTGTCAAAATTAAAGAGTGAATCTTTTATAGTGCTCTTAATATTAGCTAAAGTAGCAAGCTAAAAGTCGATATTTTATTAATCTTGTTATTAGCATCCTCTCAACCGTTCCAGATCCCAGTTTGCGTTTAGTCGTGCCGTCTTGGTAGTCTTTCACTCCGTGACGCTGTGTCTATCATAAGGATGGCCGGTGTCGTCGGGGATTGCCGGTGTGGTGCACTCTGTGGTGCACTCTGAGCACTCTGCTGTGGTGGTGTCTCCTAGGACTCTCTACTGTGAGCTTACCCGCTTTCCTTTGTAATTACTGAGTGTTTGCTAGAGGTACTTTGAGACTATGCAAATGCCCTGTTTCTGCTTAGGGTTTGCCTCTCCTGTCTCCTGGCAGGCCTTGCTTGTGGCATTTACTACTGTGGTGTTCAAATGGTGATTTTTCTATTTCTTTCCTTTCCTCTATATTTAATAATTGGGATTCTTCTGGAAGGAAGAACTGTGGTTTCTGGATATATATTTTTAATTATATCAAGATATTCAGGATAGGTACGAACTCAGAACTTAAAAGATATAAATCATGTTAATTGAGTCCAGATGGCCAGTATCAAAGAACAAAGCAATGTTGGTGACCTGTCTTTGAAAATATAATGAATTTAAGAATGAAAATAGTATTTATGATTTGTAAAATTTGTCTGGCTTTTGACTTAAAATTGATTTGAAACTGAAACAATTTTCTTTTGAAATTTTACATCTAGACTTTTTTAAAGTGTCTAAATTTATATTACTTTGGGGATCATTTTTGTCAAATCTTGAATAAAGTTACCTATACCTGGCATGATACACAGCTGTTCTCTAACACCTTTGTTCAGGTAAAAATCCCAATGTAAACATTGAACCAGTCAGCCCCAGTGAAGTGTCTGGAGCCAGGTTCTGTTTGTCTCTGCCCATCAGTGTGTGCTTGTTTTAAATGTTTCTAAAGAATGAGGTTTTTAAAAACAAAAACAACCAACAGTAAAAGGAACGGGGTTTAAAAACAGTGCTTTAGTTAGTTGACATAAATAATAACTTTTAAGTTAACCAGATATTTTTTTTTAGGTTGAAGGGTATACATTAAATTGTCCATCAAGAAAAGCCTTGAGAGGGTAGGTAGTTGATAGAGCTTTCTTTTCTTTTTCATCTTTTTGTTGTTGTTTTTTTGGGTTGTTTGTTTTCAGAGATAGAGTTTCTCTGTGTAGCCCTGGCTGTCCTGGAACTCACTCTGTAGATCAGGCTAGCCTCGAACTCACTGAGATCC